TGTTAACCTAGACCCTGAAAATCTTCACTCACACTGAAACATGTTCTTTTTTTGCAAAATAAAATTCTTCACTCACACATACATCCATTCCCAAACAAATCCACAAATGCAGAGCCACATATCCCAACCCCCCCACTACTTCTAGGAAAACTAAATGCTCTTGATACGTCTTACCCTGAACATGTAGCCTCCTCATAGGCACTAAAATTATTTTCAGTATCTCAGTAAGCAAACAGATACCGGTTCCTTTGCAAAACCCAGGGTAAAATGCCCCTCCTAACCACTACCCATCTCATTCTCACTGGCCTCGGCCCCTCCCCCTAGTGGCTGGAGCCAGGGAAGTGATGAACTGAGGAGGAGGTCCCCCTTTCCCTCTCTTCAGGGCTGATGGGAATAGGATTAAGGACCCAACTGATGAAATATGTTTGGCCCCTGTGCTGTCGCTGTCAGCTTTCAAGTTGCTTGAGGGCCAAGGATGCAACAGATTATTATACCCATCCCCCATCACAAGGAAAGAAATCTCAGTGCCCAGAGGGGGATCAGACTCAAGGTGGCCCCCCAGGGAGGGATGAGTCACTCAGGCCTGGCAGCAGGGCCCCCGCAGTCTGCCAGCCCAGTGTTAAGCTCTCCCTGAGTCACATCAGCTGGCAGCACTCAGCCCCCTTACCAGCCAGTTCCAGGGGTAGGAGGGAGGGGCCAAGATTTGATCTCCTCCCTACCTGGGGTAGAACAGCTTGTAGGGCTGAGGACTGAGGCTCCTTAACCCTTAACCTCCACCTCTAAGCAACTCATCCTTTTTGAAAGGGTGAAAGAAGGTGGGGGTGCATACCTCATTTCGGGAGGCAGCAGCACGATGAAGAGGGGTCAGCCACAGTGTGTCCTTAGCGTTGACATTAGCACCTGTGGGGATATAATTTCCTGTATTGATGGAAGAGGTGGAGGGGGTGGGAAGAAAGCCAGTAATCAGGCCAGAAAATCTGAATGGAGCTGGAGTCTCGCCTGGACTGAGCAAGGAAGACCAATCCTTGAACATCAAAAAAGACTCCTCCCCTTCCTTCCCTCCCTATGTGCCACACCTTCCAGCTCCCCACTTTCACCTGACATCAGTAGCAACTGGAGGATGGGGACATCGCCTACGTAGGCAGCAGCATGCAATGGAGTTCGCCTCTCTTGGTCCTGGGAAGGCAGAAAAGAGGGACTGTGGGCGGGGGATGTGGGGCTATCAAGGACCCCAGCCCAAGCCTCAGAGCTCCAGGCCCTTCCCCACAACCTCTTCCCATAGTTTCTGCAGCATCTTAAGTCCCGGTACTGGGAGTCAAAGGCAAGCACCTAGGGAGGGTGGAGTCAGGGCCAATGGGCTGAGAAGCCGGCTCCTTTTTCCAGGAGGGGTGGGGGCGCTGCAGACTCCGGTGGTTCAGAAGAGAACAACGTTCCTGGGCATCCCCAGCCCAAGTGATCTGGGCTCCAAGCCTGACCTGCTCTCCATCCCCAAATGCAGAGTAGGCTTTCACTCCAGGATGGAAAGAACTGCGGCCTCTTCTGAGCAGAGGAGACACGGAGCCGCCCCACCGGTGGGGAGGGGTCCAGAACACGGGAGCCAGGATTCCGATCTCGCCATCCTCCCTGCTCCCAACTCACCAGCACATTGATGTTCTCCTTCTGCGAGAGTAGGGAACGCACTTCCTCCACATCTCGGCTAAAGATGGCCTGGACCAGGGGCGGCTGCAGGGAGAACCGGCATTCAGGGAGCGGGCTAGAGCCGGAGCGGAACCGGGGTGGGGGTGGGGGAACACCCAGGTTTGTGGGGGGGCGTCCGTGGAGGGGCTCCGTTCTGGGGATTCTGCCTGCAGCGGGCTCCCGCGGTGCCTCCGCCGGTTGCCAGGTCCCCAAGGACACCGGCTCGGTAGAGGGGAGCGCGGCATGGGGCGGGGCGGGAGCTGCGGGAGCCCCGGGCTCGGGCCCAACCTAGGCCGCACATCCCCGGGCTCGCGTGGCGGCGACGCCGAGCCTTGGAAGGAGGAAGCGAGGAAGGGCAGGAGGGCTGACCTGGTCCGTGATGCTGAGGATCCCCATGGCCCGGCCCGGGCTCCGTCCGCATCGAGCTCCCGGCGGCGGCGGCGGCGGCGGCTCCACCGGGGACACGGAGCGGCCCAGGCGGCGGCTGCGGCGGCGGCTGCGGGGAGAGCGCGGCCCCGCCTACCGGGGGGCGGGCGAGCGGGAGGCCGCAGCGCTCCCTGGCGGCGGTTCTGGGCCCGGCGCTCCCCGCGCAAACTGACCCCGACCGCAGCACTCTCCGCCCCACCCTGGCGGCCCCAGCAGCCCCCGCACCCCCTAACTCGCGCGTCCGCTCCCCGGCTTCCGCAACCGGCCGCGCAGTGCTCTCCGCTCCAGTCTGGCGGCCCAAGAGGTTACCCCACAAGACCCTAGCGGAAACCTGGGCCTTGGTCCCGCGATGCTTTCCAAGCTGAGGACCGAACGGCTGGCCAGATCTCACCCAGCCCACGTTGCTCCCGGCCGAGCTAACTCCTCCCGTCAGCTATTCCACACCCCGAAATCCCCCACAGACTAGGGGGAACTGGCAGGTGGGGAACTGAGAATTAGGTATGGCAATAGCCCCAGAGGGAGGGAAGACGTGTATCTCCACTGGCGGAGGGGTGAGTTCGGTAGAAAAGAAATAGCAAAGTGCTCAAACTGCAGAGAAACCCCAAGGAGGATTCTACTGCAGAAAACACCCACAAAGAGGCCATGACAACTGGCAGCTGGAAGAGACGGCCGAGATCAACAGAAGGAGCATTTTCCAACTCCTTAATGACTCCATTGCAAGGTTAAAGTGGAAAACACTCAACAATTTCTCCTTAGAACAGCATGCGGTGTTTCCCCTCCTCCAATGGAGAGGCCGGAGAGCCGTCAGTTAGAGAAGAAATGAATGGAGGTCATCCCGGCCCAGAAACAGAAAAAAAAAAAGGAAGACGAAAAGTGGAGATTGAAAAATTGGTACAATTTATAAAAGGTGATCCAGAGTCCTGCTCAGAGTTTTACAACTCAATACATTGAAAGGAACATGTAATGGAAGAAGTATAGCATGCTGGCATCCTGTCAAGTCTTTATATATAAAAGGCCTCCCTTGCTGGGAGAGGAAAAAATAAAAATACATTTTATTTTATTTTATTTTATTTTGAGACGGAGTTTTACTCTTGTCACCCAGGCTGGAGTGCAGTGACACAATCTTGTCTCACTGCAACCTCTTCCTCCCGGGTTCAAGTGATTATCCTGTCTCAGCCTCCCGAGTAGCTGGGATTACAGGCATGCACCACCACGCCCAGCTCATTTTGTATTTTTAGTAGAGACAGCAGGGTTTCTCCATGTTGCTCAGGCTGGTCTCGAAATCCTGATCTCAGGTGATGTGCCTGCTTCAGCCTCTCAAAATACTGGGATTACAGTACTTACAGGTGTAAAACACACGCCGGGCCTAAATTTTTTTTAGTTTTTACAGTGTTGAAAATAAAAGTTGGCCAGGCACAGTGGCTCATGCCTGTAATTTCAGCACTTTGGGAGGCCCAGGCAGGCAGATCACAGGGTCAGGAATTCAAGACCAGCCTGGCCAACATAGTGAAACCCCATCTCTACTAAAAATACAGAAAAACTAGCTGGGCATGGTGGCACGTGCCTATCGTCCCAGCTACTCAGGGGCTGAGGTGGGAGAATCGCTTGAAGCTGGGAGATGGAGGTTGCAGTGAGGTGAGATAGCACCACAGCACTCCAGCTTGAGTGAGATTTTGTCTCAAAAAAAGAAGAAAGAAAAGACAAGTTAAAATATTGCCCAGTATGGTGGCTCAAGCCTCTAATCCCAGAACTTTGGGAAGCTGAGGTGCATGGATCACCTGAGGTCGGGAGTTCGAGACCAGCCTGACCAACATGGAGAAACCCCACCTCTATTAAAAATACAAAATTAGCCGGGCATGGTGGCGCATGCCTGTAGTCTCAGCTACTCGGGAGGCTGAGGCAGGAGAATCACTTGAACCCCGGAGGCGGAGGTTGCGGTCAGCTGAAATCGTGCCATTGCACTCCAGCCAGGGAAATAAGAACAAAACTTTCTCAAAAAAAAAAAAAAAAAAAAAAAAAAAGTTAAAATATTGCTTAGGAGCAATCACTCTGTGATTCTGTGCACACACAAAAATTAATAAATGAAAATTTTTTTTTTGAGTCGGAGTTTCGCTCTTGTTACTCAGGCTGGAGTGCAATGGCGCAATCTCAGCTCACCGCAACCTCCGCCTCCTGGGTTCAGGCAATTCTCCTGCCTCAGTGTCCTGAGTAGCTGGGATGACAGGCATGCACCACCGTGCCCAGCTAATTTTTTGTATTTGTAGTAAAGACGGGATTTCACCATGTTGACCAGGATGATCTCGATCTCTTGACCTCGTGATCCACCCGCCTCGGCCTCCCAAAGTGCTGGGATTACAGGCTTGAGCCACCGCGCCCGGCCTGAGACAGGGTCTTGCTCTGTCGCCTACACTGGAGTCTGTAGCCTAGACAGGAGTGCAGTGGCATGATCTTGGCTCACTGCAACCTCAGTCCCCTAAATAGCTGGGACCACAGGCGCATACCACCATGCCTGGCTATTTTTTTGTTTTTATTCTTGTCTTTGTTTTTTTCTGAGATGGAGTCTCACTCTGTTGCCTAGGCTGGAGTGCAGTGGTGTGATCTCGGCTCACTGAAGCCTCAGCCTCCTGGACTCAGGTGATCCTGCCTCAGATGCAAGAGTAGCTGTGATTACAGGCGGGTGCCAACATGCCAGGCTAATTTTTGTAAAGACAGGGTTTCACCATGTTGCCCAGGCTGGTCTCAAACTTCTGGGCTCAGGACATCTGCCCATCTTGGCCTTCCAAAATGCTGGTATTACAGGCGTGACCACAGAGTGGATTTTAAACTCCTTATGAGCCAGAGTTAGAGTCTTCTCTAACATAGACAATAAATTGTTTTTTTTTTCTTTTTCTTTTTTGGTTATGTTAACTTTATTTAATAGTCTGGCAATCTCAAAAATCTTTTTCTTCATCAGATATTTGCAAAATTTTTGGCCTTTGAACTTGAACCTGGAGCTTTATTCCATCTATATAATATAATTTTCCTGTTGTAGTGCATTCTGAAGTTCTTCTGAAGAAAACTGAACCCAACCCAAACCTTTGTGAAAACCAGTCTTCTTGTCAAAAGGTACAATACGCTTTCTTATATGGCCAAACTGTGCAAAGTGTTCTCTCAGCTGACTCGACGCCACAGTCCAAGGAATTTTTCTCACAAAAGCAACCGGCCGACTGATATTTCTACGCAGTGCCACAGCACCACTGGCTGCTAAGGCCACCATCTTTAGACTCAAATTGTTTTATTTATTTATTTTTATTTTTTGAGATGGAGTTTCGCTGTTGTTACCCAGACTGGAGTGCAATGGAACAATCTCAGCTCACCGCAACCTCCGCCTTCTGGGTTCAAGCAATTCTCCTGCCTCAGCCTCCTGAGTAGCTGGGATTACAGGCACACGCCACCATGCCCAGCTAATTTTTGTATTTTTAGTAGAGATGGGGTTTCACCACGTTGACCAGGATGGTCTCGATCTCTTGACCTTGTAATCCACCTGCCTCAGCCTCCCAAAGTGCTGGGATTATAGGCGTGAGCCACTGCGCCCGGCTGTTTTAATTTTTTTTATGAAAAAAATGATTTTGAGCTTTCTGAAGGCAAAGGTATACATTAAATAGTTTTTTTTTTTTTTAGCTCCAGCATATCAGTATTCAGAAACAGGCATTTAATATTTGGTGATTGATGATGATAATGATGATGATGAAGCAGAAACCAATGGTAACAAAGGATCAAATGGATATGGGTGTTGAAACTTGGCTATTGGGTATGATGGGCCTTCCAGGGAAGGCTAAGCTAGGATATGGCCCAGAGGATAAGGAGGAGGGGCATACACGGTCTCCATTGCCCAAAATAACTCTTGGTAACCTGAGGAATTGGAGTCAGGGGTTGAGCTGGGGTCACGTGCCTGGGTTTGGCTAGAGGATGGAGGTGAACAAGAGAGGTTGCCAGCCTGGTTCTCTGGGCAACTGGAGGGAGGAGGAAGGGCTAGAAGAGTTATTTTTAATATTATTTAGAGCACCAAAAGAGGATTTCCCAGTAGGGAAAAAAAGGATTTGATGTAGGTAACACTGATACTTTCAGGGCTCAGGGAGACACGCAGGGTGTGGGAGAAGGAGACCAGAAGTGGTGATAAAAGCCTCCTAACTGGACAGTCCTTCTGGATTGAACAACTGCATTCATATTTGGGTAACTTTAGTCAGATGCCTGCTTATTTTTAAGCCTCAGTTTTCCTTCTAACAAATGTGAGGACTAAATGTGAGGATTCACCCTATGTACAGCCCTGTACTAACTGGTTGGGAGGTCAAAAATGAGAAGTAATGATGTCAGCCAGGTGCAGTGGCTCACGCCTATAATCCTAGTACTTTGGGAAGCCAAGGCAGGCGGATTGCCGGAACTCGGAAGTTCTCAACCAGCCTGGGCAACATGGTGAAACCCTGTCTCTACTAAAATACAAAAAAATTAGCTGGGTGTGGAAGCATGCACCTGTAGTCCCAGCTACTCGGGAGGCTGAGGCAGGAGAATTGCTTGAACCCAGGAGGTGGAGGTTGCAGTGAGCTGACATTGTGGCACTGCAGTCCAGCCTGGGCAATAGAGTGAGACTCTGTTTCCAAAAAAAAAGAGGTAATGGTGTCTCTTTATGAGGAGATTATAACTTAGTAGATGAACATACATATACATGTGAAACAACTACAGAACAGAGGATATATGCTAGATTACATGGCACTATGTGTTTGTTCAGAGTAATGTTCAAGGAAGGGTTCAGTCGGGGGGTCTTCCTGGAGGAGGTGTGTTTTGAGTCAGTACTTGAAGGAAGTTGTTGAGGTTGAATGGTGGAGACATGGGAAGGAAATCAGTTGTTTCCAGTACAGGGAATAGACTAGGAAAGGTTTAAATGGCAGTACTTAGTTAAACTAATTAGTAGGGGGACAGCAAGTAAATTGGCTTGGCAGGCCTACTGGACCTTGGGGATTCTGAAACAGTCAACTCCGTTAAGGCAGAGTGATAATGAGGTCACAGTTCAGTTATACATCCCAGTTAATTTCTGTCTTTTAACCAACTAGATCCTTACTCCTCATTCAAAGCAGCTGTTTCACATGTATAAGCCCTTAGTCAGAGGGAGGGTGGGGCTGGACAAGAGAGTGGGATTGGAAAGAGTAAATCTGTCCTTTTAGGTCATGTGCCCATCTGAAGGTGGCTCCAGATTACCACTTGTGAACTGGGAGGAGATTCTGTACTACAGTAGTAAAGAGGAGGCCTGGGGGATGTGGACATTTTAACAGGCTCTCTCTGGAGTGCTGAGGGGAAAAGAAGAGATGTTAGGAGACAAAGTAAGTGAGATCATCCTCCAACTTGGGGTTTCCTGGAAGAGGATAAAATGAAAGGGCTCGGTGGCTCACACCTGTAATCCCAACACTTTCGGAGGCTGAGGTGGGCAGACAATCTGAGGTTGGGAGTTCGAGACCAGCCTAACCAACATGGAGAAATCCTGTCTCTACTAAAAATACAAAAAATTAGCTAGGTGTGGTGATGCACACCTGTAATCCCAGTTACTCAGGAGGCTGAGGTAGGAGAATCACTTGAACCCAGGAAGCAGAGCTTGTGGTGAGCCGAGATCACGCCATTGCACTCCAGCCTGGGCAACAAGAGTGAAACTCTGTCTTTAAAAAAAAAAAAAAGGGGGGTAAAGATGATGTAACATACATTCATAGTCCAGTCCATGGTGGCTCACACCTGTAATCCCAGAACTTTGGAAGGTCAAGGTGTGCATATTGTTTGAGTTCAGGAGTTCGAAACTAGCCTGGGCAAGATGGTGAAACTCTGTCTCTACGAAAAATGTGGTAGTGTGCCCTTGTGGTCCCAGCTATTTGGGAGGCTGATATGAGAGGATCACTTGAGTCTGGGAGGCAGAGGTTGCAGCGAGCCGAGATCACACCACTGCACTCCAATCTGGGTGACAGAGTGAGACCCCCATCTTAAAAATTAAATAAATAGGCTGGGCGCGGTGGCTCAACCCTGTAATCCCAGCACTTTGGGAGGCCGAGGCAGGTGGATCATGAAGTCAAGAGATCGAGACCATCCTGGTCAACATGGTGAAACCCCGTCTCTACTAAAAATACAAAAAATTAGCTGGGCATAGTGGCGTGTGCCTGTAATCCCAGCTACTCAGGAGGCTGAGGCAGGAGAATTGCCTGAACCCAGGAGGCGGAGGTTGCAGTGAGCCGAGATTGCGCCATTGCACTCCAGCCTGGGTAACGAGTGAAACTTCATCTCAAAAAATAAAATTAAATTAAAAAATTAAATAAATAAATAATAAAACATATTCATTTGGTGCATAATTATTTTGAATTGGTAGTACCAACTGCCATGAAGTCAAAACAGTTTATTAAAAATGGGTTTTGGTGATCACCCAATGTCTCTTGCTTACATGAAATCCAGAGAAGATGGGCTCAGACGTTTTTTTTTTGAGACAGAGTCTCCATCTGTCACCCAGGCTGGAGTACAGTGGCATGATATCCACTCACTACAACCTCTGCCTCCTGGGTTCAAGTGATTCTTGTGCCCCAACCTCCTGAGTAGCTGGGACTACAGGTGTGCACCACCACAACTGGCTAATTTTTTTTTTTTTTTGGTATGTTTTGTAGAGACAGGGTTTCGCTACTTTGGCCAGGCTGGTCTTGAACTCTGACCTCAGGTTATCCACCTGCCTCGGGCTCCCAAAGTGCTGGGATTGCAGGTGTGAGCCACCATACCCAACAGATGGGCTCAAACATTAAATCAGTCCATATCCAATGGAAGTTCCCAAATTAATGCCAAACTCAAGGAGTAGGGGTATTGAAGGATTTATAGTGCTTCCAGGATCACCCTGTTCCTAGGTCAGAGGTTTCTTCCACACTAATTAGACCAGCATTGCAACAGAGTCTTTTTGTTTGTTTGTTTTGAGACAGGGTCTCACTCTCATCACCAAGGCTGGGAGTGCAGTGGTGTAATCATGGCTCACTGCAGTCTCAACCTCCTGGGCTCAGGTGATCCAACTCAGACTTCCAAGTAGTTGGGATTACAGGCATGTGCCACCATGCCTGGCTAATTTTTTTGTAGAGACAAAGTTTTGCCATATAGTTTGAGACAGGCTGGTCTCAAACTATCAGGCTCAGGTGATCTACTCACTGTCGCCTCCCAAAGTGCTGGGATTACAGGTATGAGACACCACGACTGGCTGCAACAAAGTCTTTATTTAATTTACCCCCTGCCCCTCCCCACAACCACCACACACAGCACTTCTCAGGCAAAGCGTTCCTGAAAGTGGAAAGTCAGGGAAATAGTGGGGCTCAAGAAGGACAGGCTCCCATGAGGGGTGGGGGGCTTACTGCAGGGCTCAGTGGCTGCTCTGTGCCCTGTGGAACCACCGGCTGGTTCTCCAGGTCCAGCCCAGCCCCATGACATTGCCCACCCAGCAGAACCCTGACCCACTCACCTGCCGGGGCATACCCCTTGGGCATGATGGGATTGGTGAATCCTCCAGCCACGATGCCCTCAGGGGAGGCATTCCTGAAAGCATTCCTAAATCTTGACTGAAGATTTAGAAAGCAAGCAGAGGAAATGCTTGTACTGTAATAGCATGAACTTGAAATTCTACAGCAGGCACCATCATTCACTTGCACACACCTAATTCTAGTCTCTCTAGTCTCTCTCTCTTTTTTTTTCCTTTTTGGAGAGACAAGATGTCACTATGTCACTATGTTGCCCAGCCTGGTCTTGAAATCCTGGCCTCAAGTGCTCCTCCCACTTCGGCCTCCCACAATGCTGGGATTACAGGCATGAGCCACTGCATGTAGCCCAATCTCTTTCTAACTGCTTTCTTTCTTCCTCTCCTTTTTTTCTTTTGTTTACCTCACTTTTATCAAGAGCATTTTCTTTCTTTTTATTTTTTGAGACCAAGTCTCACTCTTATTGCCTAGGCTGGAGTGTAATGGTGCCATCTTGGCACACTACAACCTCTGCCTCCTGGGTTCAAGCAATTCTCCTGCCTCAGCCTCCCGAGTAGCTGGGACTACAGGTGCACACCACCATGCCCAGCTAATTTTTGTATTTTTAGTAGAGACGGGGTTTCACCTTGTTGACCAGGATGGTCTCAATCTCTTGACCTCGTGATCCACCCGCCTCGGCCTCCCAAAGTGCTGGGATTATATGCGTGAGCCACCGCGCCCAGCCAATTTTTGTATTTTTAGTGGAGATGGGGTTTCTCCATGTTGGTCAGGTTGGTCTCGAACTCTCAACCTCTGGTGATGCGCCTGCCTTGGCCTCCCAAAGTGCTTGGATTACAAGCATGAGACACTACACCCAGCCAAGAGCATTTTTTTTTTCTCCTTGAATCATTAAAAGTAGCGTAGTGATATTTAATTGCCTGGGTTTCTGTCCATGAGGTCTCACTCTTCATCAAGTGCATACTTTTCAGACAAAGATGATTCTCTCTCATAAGAATGTCTGATTCTTCCTACGTTGACTTTTTTCTATAAATATTAAAGGTAAAAACTATGCAGTTGTAACCCAGAGCTTGGAATGTTAATTTCCTTTCCCAAAAATGTAGAACACAGCACTAAGCACTTGTGGAAGCTACACAGATGAACAGTGCTTCTAACTATAATCAAGGCTGAATATGATAAAGGTTCTTGTGATGGTTAATATTGAGTGTCAACTTGATTAAATTGAAGGATGCAAAGTGTTGTTCCTCGGTGTCTGTGAGGGTGTTGCTAAAGGAGATTAAAATTTAAGTCAGTGGACTGGAAGAAGTCGACCCACTCTCAATCTGAGTGGGCACCATCCAATCCGCTGCCAGCGATGCTAGAGAGAGCAAGCAGGGTTGGGTGCCGTGGCTCACACCTATAATCCCAGCACTTTGGGAGGCCGAAGCAGGCGGATCACCTGAGGTCAGGAGTTCAAGACTGGGCTGGCCAATATGGTGAAACGCTGTCTCTACTAAAAATACAAAAATTAGCCAGGCATGATGGCGTGCGCCCATAGTGCCTGTAGTCTCAGTTACTCAGGAGCCTGAGGCAGGAGAATTGCTTGAATCCGGGAGGTGGAGGTTGCAGTGAGCTAATATTGTGCCACTGCACTCCAGCCTGGGTGACAGAGTGACACTCTGTCTCAAAAATAAAGAAAATAAATATGACTTCCCAACGCTGCATACAAAGAAAAGAAATAAAATACATAAACAGAAAAAGCGGGCAGAAGAAGGTGGAAGAAGCTGCCTTGCTGAGTCTTCCAGCCTTCATCTTTCTCTCGTGCTGGATGCTTCCTGCTCTTGAACATCAGACTCCAAGTTCTTCAGCTTTTGGAATCCTGGACTTAACACCAGTGGATTGCCAGGGGCTCCCGGGCCTTTGGCCACAGACTGAAGGCTACACAGTCGGCTCCTCTACTTTTGGGGTTTTGGGACTTGGACTGATCCAACACTGGCTTCCTTGCTCTTCAACTTGCAGACGGCCTGATGTAGGACTTTACCTTGTGATCCTGTGAGGCAATTCTCCTTAATAAACTCGCTTTCGTATATACATTTATCCTATTCGTTCTGCCACTCTAGAGAACCCTAATACAGGCTCTAAAAGGAGCGTTCAGAGGATCTGCAGATATGCGCTGTAGACACGCCCACGAAGTCGCCTCTGTACCTATGTATCGGGTCCTGTGACCACAGGCGACCTCAGTCCCCCGAACCATCTTTGCAGCTTCTCAAACGCACACCCAGGGCCCTTTCTCTCCAGAGGTGTGAAACTACATCTCCCGACAGGCGGCGTTGTCCCCTTCCTTCCTCCCTCTCCCAGGCCCGAGCCATGGCAACAGCGTGACGTGGGGGTACAGAGAGCTGCGGGATCAGCGGTCCTGGCTTCAATTATAGTCTACCCGGCAGCCTGGACAGGAGCAAGGCGAGAGGTGCTGCAGCCTCCCGCCGCCCCTGGGCTGGGGGGCCCCGAACCAGCCCGGCGGGTGCCTACTACCGCTCCTTCTTTGGAGTGAGGAGGACGCAGCCAGTGTCAGAAAGGCACAGGCAGGGTCGCGCGCATGGCCTGGGCGGGCGCGCGGCGGGTCCCGGCTGGGACGCGCGCGGCGGCCGAGCGCTGCCGCTGCCGGCTCTCGCTCCGCTCGGGCGCGCGCCCGGCCCCGCCCCCAGGCCCTTCGCCGCCACCAATGAGGTGAGAGGGAGGCGCGGGCGTCACGCCTGAGGGTAGGGGGTTGCTCCAGACCCAGGGGTTCCGCGGTGGAGGGGTGCTGTATACTGGGATGCAGGCACGGCGGAGACCGACAGCAGTCATGCCCTGGGAGCTAGTGTAGAGCTTTGGAGAATGCTTTTGCAAATTGTACGAGAAGGGAAGTCCTCGGGGTGAGTGTCCAGTCTCCTCTTGGCATTCACGGGCGCCCTAGCATAATGAACCCAGGGGGGCCCCGGGGTCGGTGATGCTTCCTGAGAGCCTTAGCTTGCAGCGGTAGCATAGGCCCAGTCAAAGGCAACTGGCGCTTCCCACACATCCCGTTTTTCTCATTCTCCGCCCCTAGTCCTGTCCTCAGCTGCCCTCGACCTTTTGCACTCGTGACTCCCTAGTCAGGGAGGGCCTAGCGGGCTACAGCAGGTGCTGGGTGTGGGGGAAGCTTGTCTGAACGACCTTCGTTTGAGATGCACTCTTCTTCCCCTTCACCTGGAAATGATAGAGGATTACGAAGAACTATAAGGTTGCTTCCTCTTTCTTTTGGCCTTAGGTTTCTGACCTCCTGCAGCCTCCTCTTGCCTCGGGCTGCTCAGATCTTGACGGCAGAGGCTGGCTTACCTTCCAGCCGTTCCTTCATGGGATTTGCTGCCCCCTTCACCAACAAGCGAAAGGCTTACTCGGAGCGTAGAATTATTGGGTAAGCATCCTCTGCCCTGCATCCTTCCACTTCTCCTTTCTCTCCAAATAACCATGTCCAGGCAACAATGTCAGGGTATCATTGGTGGGCAAGATTTATCCCTAGCCATCCTCCTCCTCAGGCTACAATGAGGATCAGGCTACAGCACCGATCCTCAAACCTCCCCTGCCAGCTTCCTGACCTTAATTTTTCCCTTCTTGGCTGCTGTGCATGGTGCATTAAGTGAAATGAGACTAGGGTTGGACTATACCTTAAGACAACAGGGTGTAGCTGGGTGCAGTGGCTCACGCCTGTAATCCCAGCACTTTGGGAGGCTGATACGGGCCGACCACTTGAGGTCAGAAGTTTGAGACTAGCCAACATGATGAAACCTTGTGTCTACTTAAAAAGTACAAAAATAGCCTGGTGTGGTGGCAGGCACCTGTAATCCCAGCTACTTGGGAGGCTGAGGCAGGAGAATCGCTTGAACCCGGGAGGCACAGGTTGCAGTGAGCTGAGATTGCACCACTGCACTCCAGCCTGGGTGACAGAGCAAAACTGTCTCAAAAAACAAAACAAATAAGACAACGGGGTGTATTTTTTTGGTTGCCGTTAAAAATTTTTTTTACGGTGGCTCAAGGCTGTAATCCCAGCACTTTGGGAGGCCGAGGCGGGTGGATCACGAGGTCAAGAGATCGAGACCATCTGGTCAACATGGTGAAACCCCGTCTCTACTAAAAATACAAAAAATTAACTGGGCATGGTGACGTGTGCCTGTAGTCCCAGCTACTCAGGAGGCTGAGGCAGGAGAATTGCCTGAACCCAGGAGGCAGAGGTTGCGGTGAGCCGAGATCGCGCCATTGCACTCCAGCCTGGGTAACAAGAGTGAAACTCCGTCTCAAAAAAAAAAAAAATTTTTTTATGGGTACATAGTATGTGTAAATATTTGAAGCGTCATCTTTTTAATATATTTTGAGCATAATAGCTAACTTATCAAGCACTTGCTACATGCTAGCAGCTTGACTTAAATGTTTTACATAGATTTTTCTCATTTAGTCCTCACAACAAACCTATAAATCAGGTGAGAAAATGAAGACACAGGTAATTTACCTAAGGCCACATTGTTAGAAAATTTTTAGAGCTGGGCTCTGATCCTTGTGTGATCACCAGTAAAATTGTCAGCCTCGGCGGGGCGCGGTGGCTCACGCCTATAATCCCAGCACTTTGGGAGGCCGAGGCGGGTGGATCACGAGGTCAAGAGATCGAGACCATCCTGGTCAACAAGGTGAAACCCCGTCTCTACTAAAAATACAAAAAAAAATTAGCTGGGCATGGTGGCGCGTGCCTGCCGTCCCAGCTACTCAGGAGGCTGAGGCAGGAGAATTGCTTGAACCCAGAAGGCGGAGTTTGCGGTGAGCCAAGATCGTGCCATTGCACTCCAGTCTGGGTAAAAACAGCGAAACTCTGTCAAAAAAAAAATTGATGGCCTCTCTTTTCTCCCTAGATGTTCCCTCTTAAAATAAAAATAATTCAAAAATATTCTGTAAACTGCAAAACATAAGGTAACAATATCATAAGGATTTGCACCTTTGCTTTTGGGAAGTTATTCATCCAGGCTTATTTGGGATCTCTAGTTCCTGAAGGGGTATGGTTAGTGGGCAAAGGTATGAATTAGGGGCCTATAGCAAGGAGGAACCTGACCCAGCTGGCAGTTCCTTGGCTGTGATTCCTCTTCTCCTAGGTATTCAATGCAGGAGATGTATGAGGTGGTGTCCAATGTCCAGGAGTATCGCGAGTTTGTGCCCTGGTGTAAGAAGTCTCTGGTGGTATCCAGCCGTAAGGGTCACTTGAAAGCCCAACTGGAGGTTGGCTTTCCACCTGTCATGGAACGTTACACCTCTGCAGTTTCCATGGTCAAACCTCACATGGTCAAGGTGAGGCCTGTATGGGAGGGATTGATAAGATTTTTTCTCTTTAGCACACTTATTTATTTATATTTTTTAAGACAGGGTTTCACCATGTTGGTCAGGCTGGTCTTGAACTCCCGACCTCAGGTGATCCGCCCGCCTTGGCCTCCAAAGTGCTTGGATTACAGGCGTGAGCCACGACGCCCAGCCCTTTTTTTTTTTTTTTTTTTAAGATGGGGTTTCACCATGTTGGTCAGGCTGGTCTTGAACTCCCGACCTCAGGTGATCCGCCTGCCTTGGCCTCCAAAGTGCTTAGATTACAGACCTGAGCCACTACGCCCGGCCAGCACTTTTATATTGAAGTGCTATTTTGGCCTTTGTAATGACTCTATCTCTATGTGTCAAGTAATTCCTTAATACCAGAAATATAGAAAATGGTTTTCAATTCCTTTCTATTGTATCCTATACTTAGTAATGTCATTTAACTTCCTGATTACCCTATTTTAGGCTGTTTGTACTGATGGCAAGCTCTTCAACCACTTAGAGACCATTTGGCGATTCAGCCCTGGTATTCCTGCCTATCCCCGAACCTGCACTGTGGACTTCTCGGTGAGTCAGGAGGCTGTGTAGCAGAGGACTAGGACTGGGTATGGGGAAGGGCTGGGGTGCTGTGACAGGGTTATTTATTTTTCTGAGATGGAGTCTTGCCCTGCTGCCCAGGCTGGGAGTGCAATGGTGCGATCTCTGCTCATTGCAACATCTACCTCCTGGGTTCAAGTGATTCTCCTGCCTCAGCCTCCCAAGAAGCTAAGATTTCAGGTGCCCACCACCATGCCCAACTAATTTTCTATTTTTAGTAGAGACAAGTTTTCACCATTTTGGCCAGGCTGCTCTCAAACTCCTGACCTCAGGTGATCCATCTGCCTTGGCCTCCCAAAGAGCTGGGATTACACGCCCAGCCAGTTATTCTTTAAGTATAGATAGCACTTAGTATTCCCCAAGTCACAGTTTCCACAGGTCTGAGCTTGTATCAGACTTGTAATCTGGGCTCAGTGTCAAGTAAGGGCCCTTAAGTGGATTCAAGGAACTGCAGGGAGTAGGGGGAGGAAAGGCACTGAGGAACGGTATCCTCGAATTTGGCCAGGGACTATCCAACATGGTCTGAAGAAGTTTCTGACTGTCTCTTACCCATTCCCAGATTTCCTTTGAATTTCGCTCTCTGCTGCACTCCCAGCTGGCCACCATGTTTTTCGATGAGGTTGTCAAACAGAATGTTGCTGCCTTTGAGCGTCGGGCAGCCACCAAGTTTGGTCCAGAAACAGCCATCCCCCGTGAACTAATGTTCCATGAAGTGCACCAGACTTGAGGCAAGGGATTGTTCCCTAGCCTCCCTTTTATCCCTCTTCCCTATCCAATTCTCTTATTTATTTGGTTTGGCTCCTGCTCCAGTTTGAGAGGAGTCTGTGTTCGTAATACTGTTTCTCCTCTCAATTCCCTAGAAATTGAGTTCTATGCAGGCTGGAAATGTAGGGGGAAACAGAAGGCAAAGGATGTGGAAATGAGATATGCCTAGGAAACGGTCAGGCCCACTGTGGGAGCACCATGTGCCTGCAGACTTTTCACTACGAATTAGAATAAGGACTATGTGGTTGTCTCTGGGCCTTATCACACACATCTTAGTGTCTGACCAGGGGAAGATAGTTTAACTTTTCTAAGCATTGAATAAATTGAGCTTTTCTTCTGGCATAGAGGTACTGAGTGGTAACTTTTACCTTGCCTGAGATTCCTCAGGATAAAAGGCAACCTGCCTCCAGCCTGAAATACATAAAGCCTCATTTTAAGACTGTAAGTCCATGCTTCCTGGCTACTAGACAGCAAGGGGCTTTCTTACCATCAGTGCCGAGGAGAAAAGTACTAAACAGGGTTGTCTTTGTACTCTTGAGTTGTACCTTATTCTTCCACTTGGCCTGAATTTTTATAAAATTTCAATAAATTGTGACAGTGTGAAATTTGGCTTTATTATATTGTTTCTTGGGATAATAATGCAGATATAGTAGAGTAAAAGAAAGTTATGACTTCTTTCCCTGGGGGAGTGAAGGTGTAAGAAGGCCTCTTGGACATAGTGTCCCTGCTAACTATAGTAGCACATTCTACAAGCCAGGACCTAGTATCCACCCTCTTGCCTATTTATAGACTTTTTCAGAAGGTCAGTTGCAGCAGGGATATCAGAACAGAATCATCTGGTCTCGGACCTCCCGTATATGTGATGCCCTCAGGACCACCTCTTATTTTTGAGACCTCCTTCAGGGAAGCTGAAAAGAGCAGGCACTCCAAGAAGTACCAGAGCCCTCTAGTGGCTTAGGTCCTGAGGTAGCCATACTAGCCCATTTGTCCTTGATACAGTTTGTTTCTTTCACTCAGTGGGCTAGACCAGTTCTTGGATTAGTCACATGAGAACTGACAGTCTCAGCGATAGCCCTTGTTATATGTTACCTTACAACAAAATTAGCAAGGTTAGGGGCTAAACATCAAGGACTTCCTAACCTTGAGGAAGAATGGAAGTGTCCTTTGGAAATCTCTCAGGGAGCCTTTCCTCTGGTTAAGGTAAAAGAAAGCCAAACCTACCTAAAGATAAATGGATGTAGAAGACTACTTATAATCCACTAAGTTCAGGATCTTGGTAGCCAGATTCTTTACCTCATAATAAAGATTCTTCCAGGCCTTATTTAATAGCAGGCTCAAGCATTGTTAATAAAAACATTTATTTTGCATTTTACACAGAACAACCTGAAGTCTGCACCATGACTTGACAGTTACCCAGGGGTTTACAGTGTGTCCAACGCAAGTGCGGTTCTGGGACTGGGGATCCACACAAACACAGGCAGGAGTCTGGAGAGAAGATGGGGGCACAGCAGGAGTGTATCTCAATCCTTTCTCAAAGAAAAGGCAGTAGAACATTCTGAGTTGCTGAAAACCTGTGCAAATGGGGCTTCTAAAACAAACGTTGTACATGAGCTCTCAGGGAAGAGGGAGGAAAAGGATGCTGATAAATAAGGAGGCATCTTCTTGAGGTGGGGGATGAAGAGGGAGGCTTACTATTTTAATGCCCTCAGCCCCAGTACCTGATAATCAGAGACCATGTTCAATCTTAAATCAATTCTCTGTTCAAAAAGAGGTGCTAATAACCCAGGGACCAGACTCTGAAAACAACATGCTGGTTATTCCTGAGTCCCTGCTCTATGCCTCACAGCATATTAAAAGATGGGGGTCTGGAAACTGGGGAGGCCAGAGGGTAGTGGCTTGTGTTCTGTGGAAGTAAAAAACTTAGTTCACATTAAGCACGGATAAAACCCAATGACTGGGACCACAGATCTGTTGAGAGGTCTCTAGTACGGACCAAGAGGGGAGGTCCAGAACATCCTCAGCTTGAGGTGCAATAGGTGTAAAATCTGGGAGGAGGTGAGTATTAAAGTAATGGGAAACAGAACACTCCCAGACCTTAATTTTAATTGGATAGTTTTAAAAAAAGAAGTCAAACATTGGGTGCCAGTCACAACAAATGCCATGCCTTTTATGGTCACTTGGTCACATAAAAAAATTGCCAAAGCATGTCCAGCTAACCAGTAGGTCTTGCTAGGAGGTGTTTGTGTGCATGGGAGAAGGCCAAGGGGCTTGGTACAGCTGACTATCCACCATGATTCCTATGGAAACAGAAGGGGCAGAGTCCTGGTTTGCTGGCTTATTCAGGGCTTGGCAGAGAAGAAGCAAAAGCTCCAAAGTGACTGTAGATTCTCTGTAACTGGCTTTGACCCATGGAAAGAGGATCCAGATTCTCACTCTAGAGATAGTGGTGGGGCCAAACCTAACTCATACTACATGCATTAGTCCTGGCCATCCTCCAGGACCACCCCTATGATGGGCAACTCATACCAGGCAGGGAAGAGGGCTGATTAGGGAAGAAGGGATAATTTTTTATCTTTTAAAGTCTTAATTTATATTTTAACCTCAAACATATTATCAGTGCCTCAGATATAATTTAATCTTAAGTCTTTAAAGGCCCCCTGAAACAAAAGTATACTCTTTATTTATTTAGGCTTCCTCACTTTCTAGTAGTCACTTTCTCCTGGTCTCCAGTTTTACCCTGACTTAGAGTCCACAAACTTCATCAGACCCTCTGTGCTCATGGACTTGGGCCTTTCTAGAGGGAAGCCTAAGGCTCGGCTCCAGATGAGCTGTGCCAGTACACCCAATGCGCGTGATACCCCAAACAGGACCGTGTAGTAATTCATCTCCGTCATTCCATAGTACTGTAAGGTAAAAGAGAAAAAGGTTTTGTTTAAGACAGAGGCAGTGACATGTACAAGTCCTGGGTGATAGAAACCTTAAAAGCTCAATTATCCCTTTTTCTCCAAGGACTTACCCAGTCAACCTTAAATAGAAATGACACTGAGAAAAGTATAGCAATTGGGATTCTGAAAAGAGAACAACCCCAACCCCAACCCTCTCATATCAACTTTATCAAAAGGCTCTGTGAGGGAGGTCCTTGCTCTGATAGGAGTTAGGTGACTTTGTGCATGGCAGATAACAATAGGGTTTGGTACAAATTAGAGGGAAAAGAGGAAAAGGAGGACTTACCTGAAGCAGCACCCCACTGTGAGCATCTACATTGGGCCAAGGGTTCTTGGCCTTACCCTGCTCTAAGAGGACATTGGGCACAATCTTGTATAGCTGAGCAACCAACTTAAACATGGGGTCATTAGGCAGGTGTTTCAGAGCAAACTCTCGCTGACAGGTATATCGTGGATCAGTCTTTCTTAGTACTGCATGGCCATAGCCTGGAACAACCTGTAAAGAATAAGGAAAAAAGTATTCTCAGTAGAAATTATTTTATTTTTTGAGACAGGATCTCACTCTGTCACCCAGGCTGGAGGGCAATGGCATGATCACATCTCCCGGCAGCCTCCCAGTCTCAGGCAATCCTCCCATTTTAGCCTTCTGAGTAGCTGGGACCAGCACACCAATACACCTAGGTTTTTTTTTTAATTTTTTTTTGGTAAAGATGGGGTCTGGCCAGGTGCAGTAACTCACGCCTGTAATCCCAGAACTTTGGGAGGCCTAGGTGGACAGATCACCTGAGGTTGGAAGTTTGAGACCAGCCTGATCAACATGGAGAAACCCTGTCTCTACTGAAAATACAAAATTAGCTCAGTGTGGTGGTGCATGCCTGTAATCCCAGCTACTTGGGAGGCTGAGGCAGGAGAATTGCTTGAACCCAGGAGACAGAGGTTGTGGTGAGCAAAGATCATGCCACTGAACTCTAGCCTAGGTAAAAAGAGTGAAACTCTGTCTCAAAAAAAAAGAAAGATGGGGGTCTCTGTTGCTCAGGCTAGTCTCAAACTCCTGGGCTCAAGCGATCCACCCACCCTGGCCTCCCCAAGTGCTAAGATTATAAGCCTGAGCCACCACACTCAACCTGTTCTTATTATTTTTTTTTTTTAGAGACAGGGTCTTACAGTGTTGTCCTGGCTGGAATACAGTGGCTATTCACAGCAGTGATCTTAGCACACTGCAGCCTTGAACTCCTGGCCTCAAGCAACCCTCTTGCCTCAGCCTCCCAAGTAGGTGAGAATACTGGGGTCCATGTCATTGTGCCCAGCTAGAAATTATTATTATTATTTTTTGAGACAGAGTTTTGCTGTTGTTACCCAGGCTGGAGTGCAATGGTGCGATCTCGGCTCACCGCGACCTCCGCCTCCTGGGTTCAGGCAATTCTCCTGCCTCAGCCTCCTGAGTAGCTGGGATTACAGGCATGCGCCACCATGCCCAGCTAATGTTTTGTATTTTTAGTAGAGACGGGGTTTCACCATGTTGACCAGCATGGTCTCGATCTCTTGACCTCGTGATCCACCCGCCTCAGCCTCCCAAAGTGCTGGGATTACAGGCTTGAGCCACCACGCCCGGCCCTAGAAATTATTTTCTACATAAATTCTTCTAGGTAGATAAATAGAAAAAGAAAAAAAAATCTCTAATTTAGAGACCTCTTTCATTCTTGTCTTCTTGAGATGGAGTCTGGTTCTGTCGCCCAGGCTGGAGTGTAGTGGCACGATCCTTGGCTCACTGCAACCTCCGCCTCCTGGGTTCAAGCAGTTCTCCTGCCTCAGCCTCTTGAGTGGCTGGGATTCCAGGCGCCCGCAACCATGCCCAGCTAATTTTTTGTGTTTTAGTAGAGACAGAGTTTTACCATGTTGCTCAGGCTAGTTGCAAACTCCTGAGCTCAGGCAATCTGCCTGCTTCGGCCTCTGAAAGTGCTGGGATTACAGGTGTGAGCCACCACACCCGGCCCATTCTTTTCTTCTTAATTCTTCCAAATTGCAGAACTTGGGTCTTGGTTTCTTTCCTAGTTGTTAAGCATCTCTGCTTACCCGTCCCGAGTTGAGTGTGTTCCAGATGTAGTCTCGTAACTTCTCATCTGACACATCTTTGCCAACTTCCTTCTGTAGCTGTGTTAGCCAGACAAGCACTTCCTATGGGAAAGGTTTAGGGAAAAAAGGAATGTTAATACATATGCCAGGAGAGAATGCCCGGATCAGAAACAAAGCATGGGGTAAGGAAAACATGTATTGAGAAAATAAAAAGAATAGTCTTACCTGGTTTGCCAGTCCATGGAGAGGTCCTGCCAGCCCGTTCATGGCTGCTGCAAAGGACAGGTAGGGGTCTGAAAGGGCACTGCCCACCAAGTGGCTGGTATGGGCACTTACATTGCCGCCCTCATGGTCACTGTGGGGAAGAAGGGAGAGCCAAGGGGAGAAGAAGGGTCAGATTATGGAAGCCTTGCTGTTCTCTTATTTGTCACTTACTAGCCTACTTATGGGCTCATGCCAGCCTATATCCAGTGAGTTATACCTAAGCTCTTGTATAAAACATCCTAAGGCTGGGCGCAGTGGCTTATGCCTGTAATCGTAGCACTTTGGGAGGCTGAGGTGGGTGGATCACAAGATCAGGAGTTCGAGTTCAAGACCAGCCTGGCCAAGATGGTAAAACCCTGTCTCTGCTAAAAATACAAAAATTAGCTGGGTGTGGTGCCACGTCCCTGTAGTCTCAGCTGCTTAGGAGGCTGAGGCAGGAGAATAGCTTGAACCTGGGAGGTGGAGGTTGCAATGAGTGAGATCATGCCCCTGTATGCCAGCCTGGGCAACAGAGCGAGACTCTGTTTAAAAAAAAAAGACATCCTAATCTTGGCTGGGCACAGTGGCTCACTCCTGTAGTCCCAGCACTTTGGGATGCCGAGGCGGGCGGATCACAAGGTCAAGAGATTGAAACCATCCTGGCCAACATGATGAAACCCCATCTCTACTAACAATACAAAAATTAGCTGGGCATGGTGGTGCACACCTGTAGCCCCAGCTACTCGGGAGGCTAAGGCAGGAGAATCACTTGACCATAGGCGAAGGAAGTTGCAGTGAGCCAAGATTGCACCACTGTACTCCAGCAGTCTGGTGATAGGGCGAAACTCCATCTCAAAAAAAAAAAAAAGACATCCTAATCCTATTCCCAGCTTTTGTTCACTAATCCACAGAGCTGGAGAGGTTAGTGGGTTACTGGTTGATGATGTCTGTATGCTCTGCTCCCTGACCCCAACCCTAGCTTTAATAGCTCCTGGAAAACTGAAGGACCATCTGATGTGAATAGCTAATACCTTTTCCCAGCCAGAAGCACCATCTTGTTCTTAGCATGGTTATGGTAATTTCTTTAGGCCTCCTTACCTTCCTTACTAGACCCCTTTCTTGCCTTGTATCATCCTTTATGCCACATTTCTGTCTCCTTGCTGCCTACTGTCTGTTCCCAGAAGATAAGAACATAAGGAGCTTTTAAAAAAATTTCCCACCAATTGAGGCATCTGGTGGCTGTGATTGCTGGGCCTAGCTTACCTGTGGATGGTGAGGTATAGGCGCATGAGCTCAGTGAACTGAGCATCAGTATAGCCTAACATGTTGGTGAAATTGTGGGACCAGTCCAGCTTAGAGTCAATGGCCCCAATACCACTGCCTTCTCTGTAGAGATTTCGGTAGATCTTTGCTGCAACACAAGGTAGCTTTGCGATTAGATCCATAGAGTCTTCATAAATCAACTGACAGGAGAAGAGCAAGATGGAGAAAAAAAAAAGGAAACATCAGCCAAGAAGAATTAGGCAGGGATATTGTCTGTTCTCCATGAACTGGAATATTTGGGTTCATGGTTAGTTATATAGTGGGTTGTTATATATAGAGTATGTTTGAAAGTATAGGATAACAATCGTAACCATTTAACTGAATAACTACTATGACCCAGGCACTAAGTGATTTGCAATACTATCTAATGTACACTAAAACGTTATTCCCAATGCTTACTACCACAAAGTATATAATGACTGCCATTTTACAGATGAGGGAACTAAGGCTCATAGTATCATAGTATTAGGTTAAATGCTAAAGTCAGGTTTAAACTCTGATATGTTTTTGAGACAAACTTTTGCTCTTGTTGCCCAGGCTGGAGTGCAATGGCATGATCTCAGCTCACTGCAACTTCCACCTCCCAAGTTCAAGCGATTCTCCTGCCTGAACCTCCCGAGTAGCTGGGATGACAAGCATGCACCACCATGCCTGCCTAATTCTGTATTTTTAGTAGAGATGGGGTTTCTCCATATTGGTCAGGATGGTATCGAACTCCTGACCTAAGGTGATCTGCCCGCCTCTGCTTCCCAAAGTGCTGGGATTACAGGTGTGAGCCACTGCACCCAGCCCTCTGATATGTTTAATCATGATCTTTTTCACTACACCATGACTTTACATTCAATGTGTTAAGACAAGCCGGGTGTGGTGGCTCACTCCTGTAATCCCAGCACTTTGGGAGGCCGAGGCGGGTGGATCACGAGGTCAAGAGATCGAGACCATCCTGATCAACACGGTGAAACCCAATCTCTACTAAAAGTACAAAAAAATTAGCTGGGCATGGTGGCACATGCCTGTAATCCCAGCTACTCAGGAGGCTGAGGCAGGAGAATTGCCTGAACCCAGGAGGCGGAGGTTGCAGTGAGCCGAGATCGTGCCATTGCACTCCAGCCTGGGTAACAAGAGCGAAACTCTGTCTCAATTAAAAAAAAAATGCGTTAAGACATTAGGTTTTGAGGCCAGGCATGGTTGCTCACACCTGTAATCCCAGAACTTTGGGAGGCTGAGGTTAGGTGAATCGCTTGAAGCCAGGAGTTTGAGACCAGCCTGGCCAACATTTTTGTCTCTACTAACAATACAAAAATCAGCCAGGTATGGTGGCACACGCCTATAATCCCAGCTACTGGGGAGGCTGAGGCACGAGAATCTCTTGAACTCGGGAGGCGGAGGTTGCAGTGAGCCAAGACTATGTCACTGCACTCTAGCCTGGGTGACAGAGTAAGACTGCTAAAAAAAAAAAAAAAGACATTAGGTTTCATAGCAGGGCACAGCGGCTCATGCCCATAATCCCAGCACTTTGGGAGACTGAGGCAGGCAGATTACTTGAGGTCAGGAGTTCAAGACTAGCCTGACCAATATGGTGAGACCCCATCTCTACCAAACATACAAAAATTAGCTGGGCATGGTGGCAAGTGCCTGTAGTCCCAGCTACTGGGAGGCTGAGACCGGAGAATTGCTTGAACCCGGGAGGTGGAAGGTGCAGTGAGCTGAGATCACACCACTGCACTCCAGCCTGGGCCACAGAGCAAGACTCAGTCTCAAAAATAAAAAAAAACACAAAAAAACAAAACCAAAACCAAAACCAAAACAAAACAAACTGGTGTCTTTTTTTTTTTTGAGACTGAGTCTTGCTCTGTGACCCAGGCTAGAGTTGAGTGGCGTGATCTCAGCTCACTGCAACCTCCGCCTTCTGGGTTTAAGCAATTCTCTGCCTCAACTTCCCGAGTATGTGGCTTTACAGGTGCCTGCCACCATGCCTGGCTAATTTTTTTTTTGTATCTTTAGTAGAGTCGGGATTTCACCATCTTGGCCAGGCTGATCTTGAACTCCTGACCTCCTGATTCACCCGCCTCATCCTCCCAAAGTGCTGGGATTACAGGCATGAGCCACCGCGCCTGGCCAACACTAGGTTTTAATAATTAATTCTATGTTCCATCTTCCAAAGAAAATTCACTATATGTGCCAAGGGTCAAACATTAGTATTCAAGTGTTATTTAATAACAAAGGCTTCCATTCTTGTTTTGTTTTGAGAAGGAGTTTCGCTCTTGTTGCCAAGGCTGGAGTGCAATGGTGTGATCTCAGCTCACCGTAACCTCTACCTCCTGGGTTCAATCGATTCTCCTGCCTCAGCCTCCTGAGTAGCTGGGATTACAGGTTTGAGCCACCGCGCCCAGCTAATTTTTTTGTATTTTTAGTAGAGATGGGGTTTCACCATGTTGGTCAGGCTGGTCTCGAACTCCTGACCTCAGGTGATCGGCCTGCCTCAGCCTCCCAAAGTGCTGGGATTACAGGCGTGAGCCACTGTGCCTGGCCAAGTCTTCCATCCTTTAAGCACTTACTATGCAACAGGTACTGTGCTAGATATATTATTTGCAGTATTACCTTTTCTTTTCTTACAATAATCCTATAAGGTAACATATACCTCATTTTATAGGTTAGGAAATTGGGGCTTAGCTAAGTTACTTTGCACAAGGTTACCCATGTAGGCAAGAAGCATTACCTACCTGACATTAACTTATGCTACTTTTAAAATTTGAGACAGAATCCTGATCTGTTGCCCAGGCTGGAGTGCAATGGCATGATCTCGGCTCACTGCAACCCCCACCTCCTGGGTTCAATCGATTCTTGTGCCTACGTCTCCTGAGTAGCTGAGACTACAGGTGGTACAGGAGTGTACCACCATGCCTAGCTAATTTTTTGTATTTTAGAGATAGGGTTTCACCATGTTGGGTCATCCAGTCTCAAATTCCTGACCTCTGGTGATCCATCTGCCTCAGCCTCCCAAAGTGCTGGGATTACAGGCATGAGCCACTGCACCCGGTCCATGCCACTTTTTAAGAAAATAATAAAAAGCATGTATTTTTGGATTTTATTTTATTTTGAGACAGAGTCTTACTCTGTCACCCAGGCTGGAGTGCAGTGGTGCTATCTCATCAGCTCACTGAAACCTCAGCCTCCTAAATTCAAGCAATTCTCATGCCTCAGCCTCCAAAGTAGCTGGGATTACAGGTGTGCGCCTGAAATCCCAGCTAATTTTTGTATTTTTTTGTAGAGATGGGGTTTTACCATATTGGCCAGGCTGATCTCAAACTCCTGACCTCAAGTTATCTACCTGCCTCGGCCTCCCAAAGTGCTAGGATTACAGACATAAGCCACCACGCCTGGACTACTAGCAAAACTTGATCTGTCAGCTACTCCACAAATTTGACTAAGTTCAACAGCTTAAAACTACTTCATAATTAAATAGCTGGTTGCATCACAGCAATCAATCTTCTTGTTCTGAGTGACCTTAAGTCAATCAGAGAGGCCTAGAAGCTAGTTAAACTCTTTCAAGTCAAGAGATTACTCATCTAGAGTTAATGGAAACTATTATATAAAAAATGTTGTGTGCATAAGATCATCCTCTTAAGGTATGTGTAAAAAAAGCTCCTTAAAAGCTCAATAAGGCTGGGCGCTGTGGCTCACTCCTGTAAACCCAGCAGTTTGGGAGGCTGAGGCAGGCAGACCATGAGGTCAGGAGTTAGAAACCAGCCTGGCCAACATAGTGAAACCTCGTCTCTACTAAAAATACAAAAATTAGACAGGCATGGTGGCGGGCACCTGCAGTCCCAGCTACTCGGGAGGCTGAGGCAGGAGAATTGCTTGAAACAGGGAGGCGGAGGTTGCAGTGAGCCAAGATTGTGCCATTGCACTCCAGCCTGGGCAACAAGAACAAAACTCCTTCTCAAAAAAAAAAAAAAAAAAAAAAATCAATAACCAGCTAAATGCTGTCACATAATTCTACTTAGATAGCCCATAATTACATTAATCAAGGCAAAGAACTGAGCTGAACTAGTGTGGCTGACCTTTGGGAGAGATACAAGATGTGGCAGCAAGAACACCAAGCCCTACTTAATTAAAGCAGTTACTGGTGCTAATGTTTGCACAATGTGAACTTATTCAAGACACATCCTAAGGCTGACAAATACATCTGTTTGCTTACAAATAATCTTGGAAAAATTAGCAAAGTCCTGTAATGCAACATGTTTACCTTCAACCTTTAGATAGTATCTCATAAAGAGATGATGGCAAGTCAAGTAATGACTGTACATTGAAATACACGTCCTGCTAAGCAGGGGAATACAAACTCATTTTAGTGATTCAGTAAAGGATAGTGATAAGCATGCAGCATATCTGGGTGCCTAAGAAGTATCTTATAGGCATATCACATAATGTATCAAGAAGCCTCCTACCTCATGATAGTAAAGACAAGTAAAATTGTAAGTAATAACAGACACTTTTATTTATTTATTTATTTATTTATTTAGAGATGGAGTTTTGCTCTTGTTACCCAAGCTGGAGTGCAATGGCACGATCTCGGCTCACCGCATCCGCCTCCTGGGTTCAAGCAATTCTCCTGCCTCAGCCTCCCAAGTAGCTGGGACTACAGGCACATGCCACCATGCCCAGCTAATTTTTGCATTTTTAGTAGAGAGAGGGTTTCACCATGTTGACCAGGATGGTCTTGATCTCTTGACTTCATGATCCACCTGCCTCAGCCTCCTAAAGTGCTGGGATTACAGGCGTGAGCCACTGCACCCGGCCTGACACTTTTCTTTTTTTTGAGACAGCCTCTCTGTTGCCCAGGCTGGAGTGCAGTAGCACAACCATGGCTCACTACTGCCTCGACCCTTCAGCTCAAGCAATGCTCCCGCCTCCTGAGTAGCTCTAGCTGAGACTACAAGTGCATGCCACCATGCCTAGCTAATTTTTAAATTTTTTGTAGAGACAGGGATCTCACTATCTTCCCCAGGTTGGTTTCTAACTCCTGACCTCAAGTGATGTGCCCACTTTGGCCTCCCAACATGCTGGGATTACAGGTATGAGCCTCTAAAATGAGGGTGGGTGCAGTGGGTCACGCTTGTAATTCTAGCACTTTGGGAGGTTGAGGTGGGAGGATCACCTGAGTCTAGGAATTCAAGACCAGTCTGGGCAACATAACAAGAAGACAACAAGATGTTTGTTTAGACAGCTAAATAAAAAATTAGCTAGGCATGGTAGCATTGCCTATAGTCCTTGTTACTTGGGAGGCTGAGGCAGGAGGATCACTGGAGTCTAGGTGTTTGACATTACAGTGAGCTATGATTGTGCCACTGCATCCTGGCCTGGGTGATAAGAGACCTATTTCTAAAAAAATAACAATAAAAATAAAAACGGCTGGGCACAGTGGCTCACACTTGTAATCCCAGCAGTTTGGGAGGCCAAGGCAGGCAGATCACTTGAGGTCAGGAGTTTGAGACCAGCCTGGCCAGCATGGTGAAACCCTGTCTCCACTAAAAATACAAAAATTAGCCAGGCATGGTGGCATTTGCCTGTAATCCCAGCTACTCGGGAAGCTGAAGAAGCAGAATTGATTGAACCTGGGAGGCGGAGATTACAGTGAGCTGAGATTGATTGCATTACTGCACTCCAGCCTGGATGACAGACTTTTTTGAGACTCCATCTCAAAAAAATAAACAGGCTCACGCGGTGGCTCACGCCTTAATCCTGGCACTTTGGGAGGCCAAGGCAGGCAGATCACGAGGTCAGGAGATTGAGACCATCCTGGCCAATATGGTGAAACCCCGTCTCTACTAAAATACAAAAAATCAGCCAGGCGTGGTGTCATGCACCTTTAGTACCAGCTACTCAGGAGACTGAGGCAAGGGAATGGCTTGAGTCCAGACTATACCACTACATTCCAGCCTGGCGACAGAGTAAGACTCTGTCTCAAAATAAAATAAAAAAACAACCAAAATAAAATAAAAATAAAAAATAAAATGAAAAGCAAAATATTAAGATTATATGACCTTTTGTACCTGCTGATGTGTGCAGGTACATATATACACATTCATTTCACCTAAAGCATTTATAAGTCTATATAAATAAATCTTTTAGGTGGTGTGAATATGTATATTTTGCATCATTCTGATACTAGCCCCCCAATGCCAACCAAGTTAATATCTTTTTTTTTTTAATTTCAGAGATGGGGTTTCACCATGGTAACCAGAATGGTCTTTATCTCCTGACCTCGTGATCCGCTTGCCTTGGCCACCCAAAGTGCTGAGATTATAGGCATGAGCCACTGCGCCTGGCCGTTAATATCAACTTTTTAATTAATTTATTTATTTATTTTAAGATGGGGTTTCATCATGTTGGTCAGGCTGGTCTTGAACTCCTGACCTCAGGTGATCCACCCGCCTTGGACTCCAATGTGCTTGGATTACAGGCGTGAGCCACCGTGCCTGGACTGTTAATATTAATTTTAAACCCTCCCTCTCTTCTTCAACTGCAAACACAATTCTCTATACAGAGTTGATGCTGAATAAATATTGACAGGCCAAATGAAGCTAGATTTGTCAAGGACCCAAGGGGGTTGCATCAGAGCAGTGGCTCATGCCATTCTGTGTTTTACATCACAGCAAACTCTTTGGGCCTTCTTAGTGCCTGGCACCTCCTGACCAAAAATCACTTAATGTACCTGGTTTGTAAAAAGGAACTTTTCTGTTCCTATACTAGCTATCTCCAAAGAAGAAACAAAATAAAATAGTATATCCTCCTGTAAACCTAGATACAGGAAAAAGTACAAAGCCAGTTAATTTTTACTTTTTCCCAGCATTGTGAATTTGTGGGGTACTAGAAGAGGTTGGTAGGAATTAGATACTATGCATTGGGATAAGAAACAATCTTCCCATACCCCAACAAGAGTTTTAAACTATTAAGGATACTTTTCATTTTCAGAGAATAAAGCTCATTTGTTTCTGGATCGGATCCTACTCCAAGGATACTAACCACTCTCCCACTCCTGACAGGTATCTTGTTTGTGTTGGCTAGCAGAGAACATGACTGACTGGCATCATTAGTCCTCCTAGACTCCAGAGTTGCAAGTAATTGCTGTTCTCCCAACTTATAAGATTTCTAAAGTTTTCTTTATTTGAAGAAGAGGGGCAGGGGAAGTGACCTTCTGGAGCTAGCATGAGACTGCTCTGTGAAACCTTCTTTAGGAACCCTGAAATTAACACATCCTTTTCTTGTTTTTCCCTTTTTTATGTGGAGATGAGATCTCACTATGTTGCCCAAGCTGATCTCAAACTCCTGGACTCAAGCAATCATCCCACTTCAGTCTCCTGAGTCACGGGGATTATAGGTGTGAGCCACATACCTAGCTCTCTTTTCCATTTCAACAGCCCTGTGTATGTACCTTTGCTACAGCAAGACTATTAAATTTTTTTTCTTTTTTTGAGTGGAGTCTCATTCTGTTGCCCAGGCTGGAGTGCAATGGCATGATCTCGGCTCACCGCAATCTCTGCCTCCCAGGTTCAAGTGATTCTTCTGCCTCAGCCTCCCGAGTAGCTGGGACTAGATGCACACCAACATGCCTGGCTAATTTTTGTATTTTTAGTAGAGGCGAGCCTTCACCATATTGGTCAGGCTAGTCTCAAACTCCTGACCTTGTGATCTGCCCACCTCGGCCTCCCAAAGTGCTGGTATTACAGGTGTGTGAGCCACCGTGCCCAGCCAACTATGGAATTTTAAGTTTCTTTTTTTACATGTATGTTATCCTAACCAAACAAATATTCTTGGTGACAGAAACCATGCTCTATTTAGCTTTGTAATTCCAACAACTGACAAAAAACAAGCCCCTACTGAAAATTTGTTAGGTTAGTTTCTGATTAACTTAGAGGTAATTTTTCTTTTTTTTTTTTGATACGGAATCTTGCTCTGCCACCCAGGCTGGAGTGCAGTAGGCTCACTGCAACCTCCACCTCCCAGGTTCAAATGATTCTTCTGCCTCAGCCTCCTGAGTAGCTGGGATTACAGGTGTGAACCACCATGCCCAGCTAATTTTTGTATTTTTAGTAGAAAAGGATGTTTCACTATGTTAGTCAGGCTGGTCTTGAACTGACCTCGTGATCCGCCCGTCTTGGCCTCCCAAAGTGCTGGGATTTCAAGCATAAGCCACCGTGCCTGGCCAATTTTCCTAAAGAGTCTACATTTTTTTTCCCTCTCTTCACACTCAAGTCCTTTGAATCTCATCACATACCCATTAACCCACCCAAATTTCCTACCTCCCAGTACTTGGTTCGGCTGATACCCTCTGCATATGCTCGGGCAAAGTTACTTTCACTGTTGAGGGCTGTAACAGCTGCACTGAGCTGAGACATAGGGTGTAGATTGGTGGGAAAGTTGTCCAGCATGGTGACCACATGGGAAGGCAGAGCTGCCCTCTTTGCCCACTCTTTTGAGAGCCAAGATACCTGTGGAAAGAGACAGTGCTCAGAATACCAGCAAGGACAAGGAAGGAGAAAAATAAAAAAGGACAGTGACATCTGAGTAAAGAAAACCCAAGACAGTACAACCCAATCCATTTACACACCAGAACTCTGCTCTGATTTCCTCCCCTCACTACACATCTCTATAAACTACCATCCTTGACCAGATTAGCATTAAGCATCTGAGATTAGAGAAACACGATGAAGAAGGGGAATGAGAAGAGCTAATAACACCCTTCTGCTTTACCTGTTCTTCTGTTGGGATCTGTCCAGTTACCAGCAGCCAAAATAAGCCCTCGGGCAAGGGTTCTTCCCCACCCTTAGCCTTGGGCAGCAGTTTTTGGCATTCAGGGATACTATAGCCTCGGAAACGGATGCCCTTGAGAGAGAAGAGAGAGAATTATAACTCAAGTTTATCTTTTTAATTTATTTTTATTTTTTTATTTTTACAACTCAAGTTTATTAGTCTGGAAGTCACACAACTGACTGGTCCTACTCATCAAACCTTATAACAAGTTAGAGTAGAACTTTTGAACATTAATGATTATTTTTGTAGAGGTAGGGAACTTGATATTTTGCTCAGACTGGTCTTGAACTTCTGGCCTCAAGTAATTCTCCCACCTTGGCCTCCCAAGTGCTAGGATTACAGGGGTAAGTCACCATACCTAGCCCCGAATAGAATTTTTAAAGCTTAAAGCTTCAAATAACTTACCTCTGGTTTTGTACTTTTATTTTTACTAGTTGATATATTTAAAAGGTAAACTGGTTCTTCAGTTATTCCATACATATGTGTTCTCTCCCTTCCAATAAGCTAGGTGCTCTGTTTTGTGCTTACCCTTATTGGTTTAATCCATGGTTTGCATAATCATTGTACAAACTCAATGATTATTAGTAATTGACATGAAGATATCTTACCTCATCAGGATCAAGAACTGATGTTTCATAGACCAATCCCTTCATGCCTCTCATGCCACCATACATCTAAAGAGGATAAAGAAAAAAGAAAGCAGCAGCTGTGGCCAGTAGTCAGAATGATTCAGTCTAGAACTTGTTAGAGCTTCATGGGATCTGGAAGATAACATTTATTCTCTGATCTGTACGACTTCACTTGGTGAGAGATGTCTGAGGAGTCAGCTTGCTAAAGAATTAAACTTTGCGGCTGGGCATGGTGGCTGACGCCTGTAATCCCAGCACTTTGGGAGGACGAGGCAGGTGGATAACCTGAGATCAGGAGTTTGAGATCAGCCTGGCTAACATGGTGAAACCCTAACTCTACTAAAAATAAAAAAAATTTGCTGGGCATGGTGGTATATATGTCTGTAATCCCAGCTACTTGGGAGGCTGAGGCAGGAGAATCGCTTGAACCCAGGAGGCAGAGGTTGCAGTGAGCCAAGATGACGCCATTGCAGTCCAGCCTGGGTGACAAGAGTGAAACTCTGTATCAAAAAACAAAACACATGGCTGGGCGCAGTGGCTCACGCCTGTAATTCCAGCACTTTGGGAGGCCAAGGCGGGTGGATCATGAGGTTAAGAGATCGAGACCATCCTGGTCAACGAGGTGAAACCCTATCTCTACTAAAAATACAAAAATTAGCTGGGCATGGTGGTGCATGCCTATAGTCCCAGCTACTCGGGAGGCTGAGGCAGGAGAATTGCTTGAACCCAGAAGGCGGAGGTTGCAGTGAGCCGAGATCGTGCCATTGCACTCCAGTCTGGGTAACAACAGCGAAACTCCATCTCAAAAAAACAAAACACAACAACAAAAGAAGGAAACTTTGTGGCCATGTGTGGTGGGGCTCACGCCTATTATCCCAGCACTCTGGGAGGCTGAAGAGAGAGGATCACTAGAGCCTCTCATAGTCTAACTGTCACTCAGGCTGAAGTGCAGGGGCAGGGGCTCAATCACAGCTTACTGTGCCTTGACTTGCAGTCTCACTCAAGTGATCCTCCCACTTCAGCCTCCTGAGTAGCTGGGATTACAGGCATGTGCCACCATGTCTGGCTAATTTTTTGCATTTCTTTCTCTCTTTCTTTCTTTTTTTTAAGAAACAGGGTTTTGCCATATTGCCCAACCTGGTTTTTTTTGGCCAGTCTCACTGTGTTGTCCAGGCTGAAGTGCAATGGCATGATCTCGGTTCACTGCAACCTCTCTGCCTCCCCAGTTCAAGTGATTCTCCTGCCTTAGTCGCCCAAGTAGCTTGGATTACAGTTGCTTGCTACCACACCTGGCTAATTTTTGTACTTTTAGTAGAGACAGGGTTTCACCATGTTGGCCAGGCTCGTCTTGAACTCCCTGACCTCAGGTGATCTGCCCACCTCAGTTATAGGCATGAGCCACTGCGCCAGGTCTGGAAACAAAATTTTTAAAGTTGAGAAGTCCCTTTCTTTCTTTCTTCTTTCAATGAAATCTTTAAAGCTGATAAGTCCCTCCCTCCCTCCTTCCTTCTTCCTCTCCCCTCTCCTCTCTTTTCTTTTTTTGGAGATAGGGTCTCCCTCCATTGCCCAGGCTACAGTGCAGTGGCATAATCATTGCTCACAGCAGCCCTAAACTCTCAGGCTCTTAGGCTCAAGCAATCCTCCTGTCTCTGCCTCCCCAGTAGCTGGGACTCCAGGGGCATCCCACCATGTCTAGCTAATTTTTTAATTTTTCTTTTGTGAGACGGTGTCTTCCTTTGTTGACCAAGCTGGTTGTGAACTCCTGGCCTCAAGTAATTCTCCATCTGCAGCCTCCCAGAATGCTGGGATAACAGGCACACCCAGTCTACTATCTTTCGTTAATATTTCTGCCTCTGATTCTTTTTCTTATTGTATTTCATTTTTTTTCTCCTGCCCACTTACCCACTCCTCAACATACCCTACCCTCAAATTCCAACCAATCAAAGCAAACAGAATGAGTTCTATTCTAGGAGAAGCGGATGGAGACCAATAATTAAAAACTGTTAAGAAACTATCACCTGAACTTCTCAGAATCTGAAGGCTGGGGAAAAATCATCCTAAAGCTGTCCTAGAGGGCCTATGGGACAGAATGCTTCTGAATAGCCAGTAGAGAGAATGGTACTTTTGTTGAAGCACATTACAGAGCTACTTTTCCCAGCCAAAGCCACAAAACCCTTACCATGTCCACAGTGATTTGGCCCACCACCGTCTTGCCATGTTGCTGCCGGAAGGTCTTAATTCTGGCCTGCTCCTTAGGTATCAGGTCAGCCAATATGTCTTTCAAATTCTAAAAAGAAAGGTAGAAGGACTAAGCAAAGGTCTAAAAGTTTATTAGATTTCCTGCAAAGCAGGTGTGTGAAGAGTTTGCTTTATAGAAGCTGGCTTTTTTTTTTTTTTAGATGTAGTCTTGCTCTGTCACCCAGGCTGGAGTGCAGTGATGTGATCTTGGCTCACTGCAACCTAGGCTTCCCTGCTTCAAGTGATTCTTCTCCCTCAGGCTTCTGAGTAGCTGGGACTATAGGCACCCACCAACACACCCGGCTAATTTTTTTGTATTTCACCGTGTTAGCCAGGATGGTCTCAATCGACCTCAGGTGATCCACCTGCCTTGGCCTCCCAAAGTGCTGGGATTACAGGTGTGAGCCACCATGCCCGGTTGAAGCTGGCTTTCTTTATCTGACAGGGAAGTCTGGCCAACTACTCTGCATAAATGAGGGTAAAAGAATTAGGCAGGAGGGAGGAAGTAATGGGGAATTAATGTTTAATGGGTACAGTTTCTTTGGGCAGATAAAAGTTCTGGAGATGGACAGTTGCACAATAATGTAAACATACGTACTGCCACTGAACCATATACTTAAAAGCAATTAAAATGGTAAATTTTATGTTATGTATCTTTTACATAAAAGAATTAGGCAAATGTATTGATATTCCCATCTTGGCTGGGCCCGGTGGCTCACGCCTATAATCCCAGCACTTTGGGAGGCTGAGGCGGATGGATCACGAGGTCAAGAGACCAAGACCATCCTGGTCAACAAGGTGAAACCCCATCTCTACTAAAAATACAAAAAATTAGCTGGGCATGGTGGCGCGCGCCTGTAGTCCCAGCGACTTGGGAGGCTGAGGCAAAGGTCTAAAAGTTTATTAGATTTCCTTGAACCCAGGAGGCGGAGGTTGTGGTGAGCCGAGATCGTGCCATTGCACTCCAGCCTGGGTAACAAGAGCAAAACTCCGTCTCAAAAAAAAAAAAAAAAAAAAAAAAGATATTCCCATCTCATTATATAATTGAGTAAATTATTTCTTAAATAGTAGTATAATAATAATGGCAACTATAACAATAACAATAATAATAAACAGTCTCAGGAAATACTCAGGATAAATAAGAGGCCAGGTGGTTGCCAAATCCTCTGTCCCCAGGTCAGGGTGCCCAATGATTCTTAGTCTTTTTTTCCAAACCTTACCGTGGAAGAAGCGCTGGCATGCCGGGAAGCAAGAACAAGACAAGATGCATTCTGCAAAGCAAAAAAGAAAATCTTACGTAACTGTTACTCCTCCCTCCTTTGTACTAAAAAGAAGGAGTTACAGTGACTCAACCTCTTTCTCTTCATCTTAGCCTCTTAGGGCAATTTTATATAAGAAAGCTGTAAAAGGCCCTCTACAGTTTGGAAAGAGTTACCACTATGGAGACAGCAAGAAGTTTAACTCTGCTTTTTTCATCCATAGCTTCACTAGCATTCCTTGAAGACAGTTTCTTTCTCATTATCTGGGTTCCAGAGCAGGGCAGTTAGCAATATTTTTGAGTGACCCCCAAGAAAACAAATGAGGAAACTGAGTAATTATTTAACAGGGCTGATGAGATCTCTCCTGCACCTAGCCTTTTGGCAGAACTTCAACTTCTTTAGGAAAGACCACAGGCAGAGGGCGGCCTTTCACAACAGTACTTCTGACCCTCCTGGAAAAAGCACAGACTGTCTACAAAGAAGCTAACAGAAGACTACTCATTAGCAGAAATGGAACTTGCAACATTTCTAAGAGTGTCAAAAGAAAATAATTAGTTTGGCTGTGCGCAGTGGCTTATGCCTGTAATCCCAGCACTTTGGGAGGCCGAGGCGGGTGGATCACCTGATGTCAGGAGTTCAAGACCAGCCTGGCCAACACGGTGAAACACTGTCTCTACTAAAAACACAAAAATAGCTGGGTGTGGTGGTGGGCGCCTGTAAGCCAGCTACTCGGGAGTCTGAGGTGGAGAATGGCTTAAACCTGGGAGGTGGAGGCTGCAGTGAGCTGAGATCGTGCATTGTACTGAAGCCTGGAGACTGGGCAATAGATCAAGACTGTGTTTCAAAAAAACAATAATAATTAGCTTAGCTAGCTTATGCTTTTCTATGTGTACAGGTAGTTTTCTTTCTTCCTCAAAGAAAAACTACATCTATGAGAAGACTGTGAAGTTGCAATAAAAGTTTAACACCAAAAAAAAAAAAAAAAAGTTTAACACCAATTTTGTGGGGGTTTTTTTTGGAGACAGTTTCTCTGTTACCCAGGCTGGAGTGCAATGGTGCAATCTTGGCTCACTGTAACCTCCATCTCCCGGGTTGAAGTGATTCTCCTGCCTCAGCCTCCCAAGTAGCTGAGATTACAGGCTGGCGCCACCATGCCTAATTTTTTTTTTGTATTTTTAGTAGAGACAGGGGTTAACCATGTTGGCCAGGCTGGTCTCAATCTCCTGACTTCAGGTTATCTGCCTGCATGGGACTCTCAAAGTGCTGGGATTACAGGCATGAGCCACCGCACCCAGCCATACACCAATTTAGAAATAGAAATAAAATGACCAATCCGATTACTAACTAAGAATAAGGCCTGAGGCAAGGAAATTAACTTTTCTGTGCTAGGTTTTTTTTTTTTTTTTTTGAAGATGGGGTTTTATCATGATGGCCAGGCTGGTCTTGAACTCCTGACCTCAGGTGATCCACCCACCTCAGTCTCCCAAAGTGCTAGGATTACAGGTGTGAGCCACCACGCCCGGCCTCTGTGCTAGATTTTGAAAACAAATTGAATTAATAAAATTCAGCCTAAATTTCCTGCTCTATAAAATGGTGCTAATACTCACCACACAGCTCACAGGATAGTCCTGTGATGATTAAATTACAGTGGATGTAAAAGTACTTTGCAAACTTAGAAGATTACACACACAAATAAACTAATCCCGGAGCAAGTCTGCATCTTTCCTCCCTTTGTCAAAAGGCCAGAGATACCTTTTCTAGTAACTACTGCACTGCTCTCTGTGCAAAACATTGCTACATGCCCAGGATGATGAGTTCTATAGGGCTGAAGGCTTTTTAGAATTTTTTTTTTTCTGAGACAGAGTCACACTCTGTTGCCCAAGCTGGAGTGCACTGGTGTGACCTTGGCTCACCTGGGTTCAAGTGATTCTTGTGCATCTGCCTCCTGAGTAGCTGGGATTACAGGCACGCACCACCATGCTTAGCTAATTTTTCTATTTTTAGTAGAGACAGGGTTTTACCATGTTGTCCAGGCTAGTCTCAAACTCTTGATCTCAGGTGATCCACCCACCTCAGCAGTTTTTAGAATTTGAAAAATGTATTTACCCCATTTCTGCTAGGGTGGAGAGAAGGAATGAAAATAGGCCCCTTCAGAAAGGTTACTCTTTTTTTTTTTGAGACGGGGATTTCCTCTATCGCCCAGGCTGGAGTACAGTGGCATGATCACAGCTCATTGTAGCCTTGAAGTCCTAGGCTCAAGTGATCCTCCCACCTCAGCCTCCTGAGTAGCTGGGACTACAGGGGCACATCACCAAGCCCAGCTAATTAAAAAAAATTTTTTTTAGAGATGGAGTTTTGCTATGTTGCCCAGGCTGGTCTCGAACTCCTGAGCTCAAGCAATCCTCCATTCATTCTCAGCCTCCCAAAGTGCTGGGATTACAGGTGTGTACCACTGCACCCAGCCAGAAAAGATTACTTTTAAAAGAATCAATCCAAAGCTAAATTCAGAGAGCACAGACCAAGCAAGTATGTTCCTAAAGCAAAGGAGGAACACCTCTACTTGTTACCAGGGATGTCCTTAACTCCTGCTCTTAACTTCCTAAAGAGTCTTCTTTCTCTCACTGAGGATCACTTGAGCAAGAAATAGGTACCACAAATAGTGCCTCACAGTCCTTGGACCATATATGGGGCAAATGGGAAGCTGAACCCAGCACTGAAGATGTAACTTTACCCTATTATAGAGGCCATCTCATTATATAATTGAGTAAATTATTTCTTAAATAGTAATAATAGCAGCTATAACAATGACAATAATAATAAACAATCCCATGTCCTAAAGACTACATCAGCCCAGCAGGAGACCTTTTTATTGTGGGTGGGTGGTTGCTGCAGTGATTTTTTTTAAAAAAATTTTATCTTTTGGCTGGGTGTAGTGGCTCACGCCTGTAATCCAAGCTCTTTGGAGGCCAAGGCAGGCGGATCACCTGAGGTCAGGAGTTCAAGACCAGCCTGACCAACATGGTGAAACCCTGTCTTTGTTTAAAACAAACAAAAACAAACAAACAAACAAATAAATAAATAATTTTATCTTTTAAACTTTTTAAAATAGAGACTAGGGTCTTGCTGTGTTGCCCAGGCTGGTCTCAAACTCCTGGACTCAAGCAATCCTCCTACCTCAGTCTCCCATAGTGCTGAGATTACAGACATAAGCCACTGCAACCAGCTGACTTTGTTTTTGTTTGTTTGTTTGTTTGTTTGTTTGTTGACAGAGTCTTGCTCTGTTGCTGAGGTTGGAGAGCAGTGGCTCAATTTTGGCTCACTGCAAACCTCTACCTCCCAGGTTCAAGCGATTTTCCTGCTTCAGCCACTGAGTAGCTGGGACTATAGGTGCCCACCACCATACCTGGCTAATTTCTGTAGTTTTTTTTTAGGGCAGATGGGGTTTCATCATGTTGGCCAGGCTGGTCTCAAACTTGACCTCAAGTGATCCATCTCCCTCGGCCTCCCAAAGTGCTGGGATTACAGGTGTGAGCCACCATGCTCCACAGACGTTTTTAAAGAGGCTATAGGGAACATAATCTGAAAGAAGTTGAAGTCTCTCCATAATTTTTCCATTTCTAAATCATTTTTAAGGTACTATAATGGTTGGCCAGGCGCGGTGGCTCACATGTAATTGGAGGATGGGCAAATCACTTGAGGTCAGGAGTTAGAGACCAGCCTGGCCAACATGGTAAAACCCCAGGTCTACTAAAAATCATTTCTATCACACTTCTTTACCACTTACTGTCTGTGTAACTCTAGCCAAATCATTTACCTTTCTGTGCCTCAGTTTTCTCATCTGTATAAGGGGAATAATAATAGCACCTACTTCAAATAATTTTTATGAGGATTAAGTGTGTCAATATTTAGAAGGCATTTAAAACTGTGTCTGGCACATCCCAAGTGCTATGTATTTGTTATATAATAAATATAATAGTCACTTTCTAGCACCCTTCAGTGTCAGGTTCAGTCATGTTTTTTTGCTAAACCTGAAGCTTAGAGAAATCCGAGGAATGTTAAAGGTAGCAATTCATTGGTAAGATTGCTCAAATGGGTAGAGTATGAAAAATTCAACTTAGGACAACTCTATCTAATGATGTAGAGTACAGAGCACTTGATTTGGAGTTAGGAAAGGAAATCTGGGTTCTAGCTCCATTACTAATAAGCAAAACAATTAACTACTATTTCTGTTCTCATTTCCATAATTAAGATAACACTTAAACTACTTAACTCAAGAGTCTGATTCTCAGGCTCCAATAAGGACATATATGCAAAAGTAGTCAAAAGTCTTGTTACTTAAAATGTGACCTCCTCGGCCGGGCACGGTGGCTCAAGCCTGTAATCCCAGTACTTTGGGAGGCCGAGGTGGGTGGATCACAAGGTCAAGAGATCGAAACCATCCTGGTCAATAAGGTGAAACCCTGTCTCTACTAAAAATACAAAAATTAGCTGGGCATGGTGGCGCACGCCTGTAGTCCCAGCTACTCGGGAGGCTGAGGCAAGAGAATTGCTTGAACCCAGGAGGCGAACGTTGCAGTGAACCGGGATTGCGCCATTGCACTCCAGCCTGGGTAACAAGAGCGAAACTCCGTCTCAAAAAAGAAAGAAAGAAACAAAAAAAAAAAAAAAATATATATATATATATATATATATATATAAATGTGACCTCCTCACCAGAAGTATTAACATTTCTTGGGCCTCAGACCTACTGAATCCAAATCTGCAGTTTAGATGTGGAGTTACCAAGGACCAAGTCCTAAAGTAATATTCTGCCACTTTTCTGCTGTGTTATCTTGGCTATATAACCTAATTTCTAAGCCTCAGTTTTTACATTTCTAAGAGGTAATAATAAAAGTCAATTTCAGAGTAGTCAAGTAAACTAAATAAAACAATTTTCATAAAAGCATCTAGAACAGTGCCTTGTGCATAGCTGAATTCAGTAAATGTTTGTTTCTTAGAAATGTGTTGGCCAA